GTTAAACATACTTGCTTAATGTACACATCCTTGGGAGATTTCTTTGTGGGTATATTTTGTTGTCTATCTGTTTTTGTGATCAGAGGGTTAAACATACTTGCTTAATGTACACATCCTTGGAAGATTTCTTTGTGGGTATATTTTGTTGTCTATCTGTTTTTGTGATCAGAGGGTTAAACATACTTGCTTAATGTACACATCCTTGGGAGATTTCTTTGTAAGATAATTTTGTTAGCAGGTAGCTGTTACTGAGTAGGAGAGCACTTTTCACAATTAAAAATTATTTAAATGATAAAAAAAAAAGTTTCTCAATCAACTTATTTTATGGGACATATGAAATATTTTTGTGTTTTTTTATCAAATTGTATAGTTTAATTCTATCAATGCCATTGGGGGCATATATCTTCTCTTGAGAATCTTTGTGCACCCATGAAAAAAAGGGTATTCCCATTCAAATTTCCCAGCTGTAATTTTCAGATAAGTAATGAAATACTGAAACATCTTTTTTTGTTTTGTTTTGATTGTACAACTAAAAATAAACCTAGAACTAGGAGAGTTTGTCTCATCTAAATATGGCACTGTTATACCCAATAGTGGTGTCATTCGTCATGGAACTTATTCCCCCATAATGCACTTTGTTTAAACAAATAAAAAAGCATACACTTATGCATGTTTTACTACATCTGTGACAAAATATATTCGTAGTGGGGGTAAAAACCAAAATTACTTATTATACTGTTAACATGCCGGAGCTACAATACTTCATCATCAAATCTGTACATTTTTTTTCAGTCTGCATTTATACAGAATTTTAAAATAAAAAAATACACTATGGTATGTATCATTAAACTACTTGTTGTGCATCTCTTTTTTTAAAAATAACAAAACAACTAATAACAGTCTTTCATGTAACTGCTTATTGCTATAATACTGAGCCCCTTCTGACTATGTTAATTATTTCTGTGGATCCATACAGTCCGTATTTTTGTTTTCAAATACAAGACCTAAATAAAACCTGTATAAAACTCTTCATATCATCATTGTTCCTAGTATTTACCCTCAAGAAATATATTTTGTAAGACAGTATTCTTGTCCTTCTTGTGTATCGTGAAGTCATAAAATATTAAAATTGGTTTAACCATGAAAAGTTCTCAGATACACAAATAAAACTTTTCTTTCCTATCCATTCAGCTCCTATATCTAATTGTTAATTCTGATATATGTTTTATGACTGAACAATCACAACTTGTATGTAAAGACCAGTTATGATCAGAATAAATACAGTTATGATAAGTGTTTTATGACTGCTAAAGTTACAATCATGAAACATACAAAGTGATTCAAAAGTCAGTTGACAGACATATGTTTCAGAAATGGAGACTTATAGAAAAATAATTCTTAGTTGTATGGAATACGTCGTTGTAGGCCTACCCTGTAATGGTATGTATCATGACCTTTAGAAAATTTATTAGTATGCATCATACACCTAAAATATCAGTTGTGTAGAAAATAACAAATCAAACATTTTAAACCAAAGATTATCAAAATCGTTCCTCAAAAATAACAATTATAGGCATAATATATCACCTGGTATATGTTAGGGCCAACTTTGATATAATCAGCAAGGCTGCAAGTGGACTTCTATATCACCTGGTATATGTTAGGACCAACTTTGATATAATCAGCCAGGCTGTAAGTGGACTTGTACACCACCCGGTATATGTTAGGACCAACTTTGATATAATCAGCCAGGCTGTAAGTGGACTTGTACATCACCCGGTATATTTTAGGACCAACTTTTATATAATCAGCAAGGCTGTAAGTGGACTTGTACATCACCCGGTATATGTTAGGACCAACTTTGATACAAATCAGCCAGGCTGTATGTGGACTTCTGTATCACCTGGTATAAGATAGGGAGAAGTAACCCATTTTTAAGGATTAGCTTCAACTGAATTAGATAGGAGAAAATTTTGCAGAAGTAACTGAACAATCACAACTTGTATGTAAAGACCAGTTATGATCAGACTAAGTACATAAAACATATATCAGAACTGTACTTAGTCTGATCATAACTGGTCCTTACATACAAATTGTGATTGTTCAGTCATAAAACATATATCAGAACTGTACTTAGTCTGATCATAACTGGTCTTTACATACAAGTTGTGATTGTTCAGTTATAAAACATATATCAGAACTGTACTTAGTCTTATCATAACTGGTCCTTACATACAAGTTGTGATTGTTCAGTCATTACTTCTAGTATTTTCATAAGGTATTTGTCAGAATGCTATTTATTCTAGATTTATCTTGTTCTTGAATTGTTTCAAGCTGTTTAACAGTTATGGAATGATTCTTACACCTTCTCTCTGTCTTGATAGATGTTTTATGCGATGTCTTATACGGCGTGCGTTTAATTGTTATCTTACTAATACAGATAAACTGAAAGAATAACAGACTGTCAGCCAAATATATTTATGTCAGGTGTTGTTCAGTCAAAAAGTTTTCAACGCATACGGGGTAAAATTATTTCTATTAAAATGTCTTTAGGGAAGGTAAAATGACTCTTATTAAAACGATTTTTTTTTCATGCATTTATACTATTATATATTATTAGAATAACTAAATTTAAACAGCAACAATAAAATATTAGGTAATCATCCAGTATAATAGTTTATTGACCTTGACTGACCAGTCAAAACATGCATCACTGGGTGACCTCTAGTTCATAGATTGTTAAAAAGTGAGCCCCATTTCTACTTACACGTAGTTGTAAATTTTGTCATATGACCTGGAATGACCAGTCAAAAACATGCATCACTGGGTGACCTCTAGTTCATAGATTGTTAAAAAGTGAGCCCCATTTCTACTTACACGTAGTTGTAAATTTTGTCATATGACCTGGAATGACCAGTCAAAAACACGCATGGCTGGGTGACCTTTCTAGTTTCTTGGTTGTTATTTAAAAAGTGAGCCCCATTTCTACTTACACATAATTATAAATTTTGTCATATGACCTGAAATGACCAGTTAAAAAGACGCATGGCTGGGTGACTTCTTGGTTGTTAAAAGGTAAGTCCCATTTTTACTTACAGGTATTGGTGACACAGGAAACCACTTCATCACTTGGATGGTTTATTGAAAATAATTGAGTTATACAATTATAAAACAAAAGCCTCTATTGTACAAGTAAAGTCCTTAGGTACATTTTGGTTTCACAAATTACCTCTTCTCTGTCATAATTTATAACATGATTTTTACAGAAAGAAAACTAGCGTGACTCATTCTTCTTTTTAAACTTCCTTACGCATTTTAAAGTAAAATGTACACTTTTTGTGGTCAAAGATGTTAATTTTGCACACAATTTTATTCATTTTGTGAAGAACTTACACCTATACTTAAAAAGTAGGTATGATATTTTTCAATTACCAATTAATAATATAATCAACAGTGTTGTAAAATAACGTTTTTTTTTCTTTAAAAAACAACAAAACTTGAGCTATTATTCACATGTCGTATAATGTTCTACTTGCACCGAAATGTTTCAATTTCAGGTTTTGTAACTGAAAAATACCACATCTATATCTCACCAACCACTTTACAAAAACTAACAAATATATCTAAACATTACGATTTTGAAGTAATATGTTTTATATATATATACAAAATGTTCTTTAAACAAATTCACACACTATAATCTAATGTAGTCAAATAAGTTTCAGACCTAGAGATTTTATGTTTCCACTTTTCTACCAACAAGCGATATGTTTTTTGTTTTTTAACATGGAAAATGCTTTTCTCAAACGGTTCCAAAGAAGAAATTCTTGTAACATTCTAATTGATAAGACAGTTAAATGTTTGTTATTTAACATACGCAGCAGAAATGTCACACGTTAAATAATGTAAATAAATTGAATTTGTAAGTCTCCTCCGCTAATGGCACACATCCAGAATGTTTGTTCTTAAATGTACGTGGCGGAAATGTCACACGTTAAATAAAGTAAATAAATTTAATTTGTAAATTTCGTCTGTTGACATCCAGATGGACAGACAGAATCCCTATCTTACATTTATTTCATACAACTCTTTTACAACATTGACAATAATTCTTGTTCACTTTTTAGCTCTTTCATACAAAAACTACTTTATTCTTATAAAAGCATCAAAGTCATTACACAAGGAGCACCCCCCTCGAACACCTTTATTTAACAAGATCACAGTATAAAAATGCAGAAGCATCCCCTCTTCCTTCTACAACATTTAGTGTGGGACAACTCTTCTCGATCACAAATCAATACGTAACATGTATGACATAACTTTGCCTTTGTCTGTATATAAAGTAAACCCAGACTCCTACAGCAGTCCAAATTATCTTGTATGGTAATAAGCTGATACCATTACTTCAGTGGCATTAAAGTTACTTATAAATGTGGATGCATGACAATGTCTTATGTCCTTATAATGATGGTTCTCAGTTTCTTTACTAGGAAAATTTAAAATTTTAATAACACAAAGTTTATATTCCAACAAGGTTAATACTACCACACACCTACATACTTGTATTCTTCGGCATGTTTAGTACAACATCATTAAAAATATCCCCCCCCCCTTTTTTTACTTGGTTTTAGCAACAAAAACAACACATTAATGTAAGAACCACAAAGATTCTTTCATGTTGATAATAAAAACTACATCCATTACCTATGAAACGTTGGACTCCAAGCATCCGTTACTTTTAAATTCTAGAAGTAGCAATATGGAAACTAAAATAGTACATTCTAAAATCTTGTAATTATACTTACAATTGCCAATTCATTTATTATTTACTGGATGGAGAAAGTATAATTTATTAGTTAAAGAGCACCATACCATAACTCTCAGATGACCTGTATTAAGAAATCCTTATTAACCGTACTTCGTTGTTAATGTAATTTACTCTATGTGCTAGCAAACCAAGCATCTTGAAAGATCAAACACATTTTCGTTCAGTCCTCAGACTCCAGTTTTTAAAAACCAAGTGGTATTAAAGGTAGGACCAACGAAAACCATCACACTACATTTGAAGTCGTACAACACATGTGGATCAAGTTTCAGAACAGTATTAATAATTTTTCATAAGTGTCAGTCCTTCAGTATTAGTGCGTGCATTGGCTTCTATACTAATGATATGGGATGTAATGATGCTGTAAGGAGGTAATAAGAGAAAAAGAAAATTAAACAGAATAAAAGCAACCGAAAAAGAAAACTGTACCAAACAGATTTGTGATCATTACCATACCTTAACACTTTTCTTTCTTGAATATCACAATTCTCCTCACAAAGGACGGCTTTAAACACTCGGGAGTTCAAGCATTCTTGAACCGGGTATTAAAAGATTAAGTGAATAATAGAAAATGCTTTCCACAATTTGACTTTTCTGTATCAATATGATTATTTTTCCATAGTTAACTCCCATACATAATACATGAAGATAGTTACAGTGTTGACCCTTTTTTTTACAAACATCATTATAAACCTTGGAACAGTTGAAACTTGCATAAAACTGATCCTTCTGTGCCAATCATGGAATTTATTCAAAATCTTACACAAAATCAAGAAAAAAGCAAATAGCAGGCGTATAATATTTAGAATGATAAAATGGAAAAAGATGAAAAACAATCTACACGTTTTCTTCTAACAGTTTCTTTTCTTATTAAATAATCCTCTTATCTTCTATATTTACAAAATGGGAAACCTTACTCAATTCATTGACGCTTTTGGTGTTTGGTTTACATTATTCGGATAGCATAAATACCAATCGCATTACTTTTAGCACAAGAAACAAAATAGAAGGTAATCATTACTTGTACTTAACAATGAAATGAGTGTTTAATGTTCTTTCTCCAACCCACTAAAACTGATTGAAATACCACTTCTGAAGCATTACTTCTAAAATATGTCGTTTTACTCTTACTTCCTGCCTGTTTGTAATTTCAAGCAATAGTAAATTATTCAAATACTGAATTAGAGAATGAAGCACAAAATTTTGAAAACCAAATCGCACCTGAATTCTATAGATTTTCTTCAGTAGGGTGGGGAAAACCTATTAAAATATTGAAAATATGTTATTGGTGCAAATGCATAAACTTCTGTCTTTGGATTTTAGTGAAAAAAGAAATTATACCATCATGGATCTAACAACAATTTTGTACAAAGACTTTGTTAGCTAGAGGGCTGATCACCATCTCTAGTACTTGATGCTGACCGTTTCAACGAGTCAAGGTACTCCTGTTGGGACTGCGCTAAAACTTTAGCAAGTATGTCCGAGTCTTCCCATTCTGTCAATCCTGCAAAAAAAGCACATTAACTGGTATATTAGCAATTTATCTGTGAGAATTCACAGGAGACAACTACTGCAATAAATATTTTGTTTGGAAAGATTGTTAAATTGTTTTCAAAAATTTTCATAGCAACTGATGCATCCAAATCTCTTCTGATCCCCTGATATTAATATCTAAACACATATATTTATTTTAAATGGTATGCCTGTGCCACTTGTCATGTAATTAAGTTCAGGGCCTCCAAAAAACCCCTTTATCTCATATTTGGGGCTTCAATACAAGAATTACTAAAAACAATTAAATTTTAGATACTGAATTTGAATGTTCCCTTATCTGTCCCCGATTCACTTCTGAGAACCACCATTCTGTTTTGAATGGCTAATCATATATTAATACCAATTTTCAAGTAAATTTATTCATTTAATCCTGAATGTCCCTCAAACATGTCCACATTTGGGCATTATCAAAATTTTAAAATAAATTGTTTTCTTTGTTTAATGAACATCAAGAGTCTGCTCAGAAATATTCATATGTGGGCTGGAGATCAAATGTTTCCAACGAATCTAAAACCTTGAGTTCATTGGCATACCATGAACCCCCCAGTGGCACAGCGGTATATCTGTGGACTTATAAAGCTGGAAACCAGGCAGATCACAAACAGCCCATTGTGTAGCTTTGTGTTTAATTACAAACAAACATACCATGATAATTTTCTTTCTTTCCAATAACATACACACACATGAACTTATAATATACAGTCGATTTGAAAAATGTTACATTTATAGTTGGATTGCTTGCTTGTTTCATGATGTAAATAGTTTTGAATATTATTCAAATCTATTTATAAATTTATGCTTATATTTTCATAATTTATCCACTTGCCATGTTCATAGATAAACAACTGTTCCAGTGTCAGGTTTATTTTGAGACGTACAATAAAAAGGTAAAAGACATTTTGTAATATTTCATTACTTATTTGAAATAGGAAACAGGTAAACTTTGGGGAGTTTCACGGTTAATACCTTTTCTTAACGGCGATACAAAACTTCAAACTGGTGTGGTTATATAGTTTGTTCCACATACGTATCCGTAGCAGAGAGAGATAAAAGTGAACAGGCCAGATGTAATAACTTTGTATGACAGTTCAAATGAAGTTATGAAAACAGTCAATAATAAGTTGTTAATAATTACTTGATAAGTTAATAACTACAAGAAACACTGAAAAAATTTACAGAATTCAGCGAGTTCTAGTCTCACCAGCCAAACTCTACAAACTTACCAAAGACTGATGGAGGAAGCCTATTCATGAAAGTTGCTGTTTCTATAAGTGAAAAACCTTCTTGACTATTTGTAGCACAGCTATTTGATGAGCAAGCACCAGCTTCAAGTCCTAGCAGATCATCCATGTGACCTCCAGCCATACCTGAACTTCCAGCTTTTGGACTAACAGCTTGGAAGAAGAAAAAAAAAACTGTACAACACAAGCTTCTGGTTGACAAAATGACTACATGGATAGCCTCTTGTTGTCTCTGCACAACAAAAGCTTCCAGTCAACAAAATGCCTACATGGATAGCCTCCTGTTGTCTCTGTACAACAAAAGCTTCCGGTTGACAAAATGCCTACATGGATAGCCTCCTGTTGTCTCTGTACAACAAAAGCTTCCGGTTGACAAAATGCCTACATGGATAGTCTCCTGTTGTATCTGTACAACAAAAGCTTCCGGTTGACAAAATGCCTACATGGATAGTCTCCTATTGTATCTGTACAACAAAAGCTTCTAGTTGACAAAATGCCTACATAGATAGTCTCCTGTTGTATCTGTACAACAAAAGCTTCCAGTCAACAAAATGCCTACATGGATAGTCTCCTGTTGTATCTGTACAACAAAAGCTTCCGGTTGACAAAATGCCTACATGGATAGTCTCCTGTTGTATCTGTACAACAAAAGCTTCCAGTTGACAAAATGCCTACATGGATAGTCTCCTGTTGTCTCTGTACAACAAAAGCTTCCAGTCAACAAAATGCCTACATGGATAGTCTCCTGTTGTCTCTGTACAACAAAAGCTTCCAGTCAACAAAATGGCTACATGGATAGCCTCTTGTTGTCTCTGTACAACAAAATGCCTACATGGACAGCCTCCTGTTGTCTCTGTACAACAAAAGCTTCCGGTTGACAAAATGCCCACGTGGATAGCCTCCTGTTGTCTCTCTACAACATAAGCTTCCAGTCGACAAAATGCCCACGTGGATAGCCTCCTGTTGTCTCTGTACAACAAAATGCCTACATGGACAGCCTCCTGTTGTCTCTGTACAACAAAAGCTTCCGGTTGACAAAATGCCCATGTGGATAGCCTCCTGTTGAATTAAAAGTATTCTTCCACATATTTCTCCACCACATAACTTTATATTCATCTCTCTAATAGTGGAAACTTGTATATTATTATTCGGTGGAAAGACAAGTTTCTCTAGTTCTTTATCTTTCAAAATGAAAACTACAAACCACAAAAATTACTCTGTTGCAGAAAAAGTAAACATGAAAATTGTTTTAGGATGCTTCATCCCCTGATTAAAAACTACAAACTACCTGACCATATATAATCCACCAATTTATTACAGAATCTGTAATACTTTATCATCAAAGTTATATACTATTTGCTTTCTACTCAATACATATACACATCTCTTGGTACCATTAACTTTTACAACACAGGCAAGAAATATATAAGCAATTGCTTTTCTTCATGCTTAAATTCACAAATTCGAGATAAAAATGTAGTTAAAAAACATACAATATATATACTCACAATTTTATCAATTTACTTTTACACAAAAACTTCCAGTACCTTTATCAGGTGGTCTACAGCTTTTATCTTCTCCATGATTATCTATTCTGGGACTGTTAGAAGCTGAGTTGTTTCCACGGATACGAGGAGGGGTTCTACCTGCTGCTAAAGGTGACACGTTTCCACAGGTAGCTCCATCAGCTGTTGCTAGACTAGAACTTGATGTTTCTGTTGCTGATGGGGTCTAAAAAATTCCATGTTACAAGTACAAACACATTTTTAATACTTCTAAACTATAATCTGTTTCAATTCAATACATATTTTTTTCCTCAACATTAAAGATAAATATATTTATCGTTTGAACACAAACCTTTTTTCTTGTTCTCAATTCGTTTTCTCTTAACCACTCAAGATAAGATTCCCTTGCAATCTGTTCTTCTATGGCTTCATTTGTAGCCTCCCAATCTGTAGCTCGAAGTTTATCTTCTAGCATAGCCTTGAGAAAATAAGTTTGGAGTAAGAATCAACATTTATTGATTCTGATTAATGTTTGAACCTAAAACTGTCGTGATTTTTATATTAGGAAAAAAAAAACTTATAAGAACATATTACATCAGATAATTCACCGTGTAAAATTAAGTAGAGGTTTAATAACTTATAGATGTAAAGGGTTCGTAGAAGATGTTTTTAAAAAAACTTAGGATAAATAAGTACCACAATCCCTTTATCAATACCAATGTTTAAAGGGCATAACTATAAATTTTTTTTTATATCACAAACCCCCCTTCACTGTACCTGTTCTAACTGAAGATTCTCTGAAGACCTTATGGCATCCATTATCAAACTTTTCTCCGCAGCCTAAAAGGTAAATTAAAAATCCAGTTACTGGTTATGTTAATTGTTTTACCATGAGACAAGGGAGTTCTGACTAATAACCACAATTTTGTGAAATAAATTAACAAGAACTTGTTTGTGTTTAAAATGATAGACATTACAGGAATAGTAAGGATAGTTTCAAATTAAAGTCCAATATTTTTTTAAATGAAAGCTCAGATACACAACACTAGATTCGTTTTAAGCATGATAAATTTATATCAAATTAATGTATATTAGTAAAGTAAGAGCAATAAATGTGATAATGAGTTTAAAAAAAAAATGTCTTATCTTCAGAGTTAACACGACAAAATCAAATCTACAATGTAACTATTTTTAACCAACAACAAAAATTTTAATAATAAACTGAGGGAATAACTACCCCTGGTTTATAAGCTGGGAGTCCCAGTCCAACTCCGATAGTTGCCTTGTATGGGTCAACAATGGAATTATAGTGGATGTTTCTGTGGTAACTTAATCTGATGGGTTCATTGTCTGTTTTATGCATACCATGGAAGGTATTAATTGGTTCTGAAAACCACAAACATTGATGTATCAAAGAAAAATTAATTTTTGTACATCCAGAAACATTTTTTATTACATCTGCATAAATATATTAAAACCTTTACTGTATATTCCTCAAATGTTTCAATTCATTTTGAAAGAAAACTGATTATTATATGCAAATTCTAAGTAGATTTATCACTGTATTGAGGGCATTAATGAGTGAAATAAAAGGTGTGAATGAATTATAAGGAAAACAAAAAAATATATTTCAATTTTATTTATCAATAAGATTTCTGTGCAAAACTCTAACTTTGAAACTAATCACAAAAGAAGAGATAAACTTAAAGACTGGTTTTAATTATAGATTCCCCAAGTTGTATTTTAAATCAGAAAACAGATGGAGAAAGCTTTATGTTAAATGTACCAAGAATTACAACCATTGCTGGAATTAACTTGGAAGTTGATATTGTGTAATCAATTTAAAGAGAAAACAAACAATTCACATTTCATCATATCCATGGCAAAGACAATATGTCAAATGTAGTTACAAAATATATAATTAACATACCAATGAATATGGAATTTTCTAGAACAAGATAGGTTCTTTGTCCATAAAAATGCCTGTAGATGGTGGTGTATTCTATCTTGTGAAGTAGAAAGTTCTTGTTTTCTTAACATACCAGAACAAGTTTTACTTATAGCCCACCCATAATCATAAAGTAACCGTCCCCAGTGATGGGAAAAGTGTAACCGTCCCCAGTGATGGGAAAAGTGTAACCGTCCCCAGTGATGGGAAAAGTGTAACCGTCCCCAGTGATGGGAAAAGTGTAACCGTCCCCAGTGATGGGAAAAGTGTAACCGTCCCCAGTGATGGGAAAAGTGTAACCGTCCCCAGTGATGGGAAAAGTGTAACCGTCCCCAGTGATGGGAAAAGTGTAACCGTCCCCAGTGATGGGAAAAGTGTAACCGTCCCCAGTGATGGGAAAAGTTTAACCGTCCCCAGTGATGGGAAAAGTTTAACCGTCCCCAGTGATGGGAAAAGTTTAACCGTCCCCAGTGATGGGAAAAGTGTAACCGTCCCCAGTGATGGGAAAAGTTTAAGTTAAACTATTAATTTAAATTATTTCCTGGACTTTAAAAAGGTTAATTGTGTTGCACTCTTGGTTTCACTCAGAACCAAAGCTCTGAGTTACGTATACCACCCACCGAGAAAAGTAATTGTTGAGCATTTCGGCCATGCTAAGAGCCACTCAACAATAACATACGGTAAATCTACATTTTTATTCTTTAAGTTACGTCACATTTTGAAATGTGAACGATAGTCTGATTAATTCCTAACAATTTAGTGTAGAATATCTTGCTGGCGTAATAAAATTTGTCATTAACATTATTCATGCCTGTTCTCCCGTCATTTCAAAAGTGAATGATGAGCTTCGCTTGCTTGTGCAGCTTTTCAAAGGGGAGACAGACAAACGCTAGGACAGACACACCACGGTTCATAATATATATAAGACTGTACACCAAGTTATAGTGTTGTATGTTTATTTCTATTGGATAACAAGGCCTTCTTGAAAGAACATGTAAGCAAAATAGATTGACGTAAATATTCTTTAGAAATGTTAAAACTGATGTTCCAAAAAGTTAAAAATAAATTACGTTTTGTGCTATAAACATAAAACAGATTCTAGCACGGCGTAAGATCTATTAATAAGTAAGAAAGAACACTTGTGCAACAAAATCACATTTCAGTATCTTTTCTTCATAATATTGATCTAGAAAACATTATATCATGATATTCTTATCAATGTTTTTTATTGAATTTACATTTTCTACTTTTTACAGTTAAGGAATAAAGAAGAATGATTAATGTTGGTATGAATAATAAGCTCTTACTCTTACAGTTCACAAATTTAGTGGTAACAAATGATGATGTTCGCATTACATTTGTATTCCACTAATGTTGAAATCATGGTAGAAACCAAACCAAATTTAAAGTTAATTCATAAACTCCCAATAAACCTTAATGAAACAACAAATGACTAACATACAGTCTTCCTAAACTCCGTCATAATATCTAGTCTATGTGTTCCAAAGGTAATTTCTACAAACCAACTGTACATAGTTAAAAAAAAACAATTGAGGTATTGTTAGTGAGTTCCAAGTTATAGTAACTAACATACAGTCTTCCTAATCTCCATCATAATATCTAGTCTATGTGTTCCAAAGGTAATGTCTACAAGCCAACTGTACATAGTTAAAAAAAAATAATCAATTAATAAGCCAAAGTGTGAACAACTCATTCTTCAATGAATTAAGCTTCAACATGTAAATTCAAAATTATAAAAAAATTAAAATTATTTTATTACAAGTTACAGCTTTTACTGTAAAAAAGCCAGCACAGTGATATGTCTGCAGACTTACAACACTATAAACTGGGTTTTGATACCCGTGGTGGGCAGAGCACAGAAAGCCCATTGTGTAGCTTTGTGCTTAACTTCAAAACAAACAAACAGTAAGGAAGATTTGTTTTAAGAACAGGTACGACGTTTCAACCACTGGTGCGACCATTCTCAAGTACACAAGTTTTAACGGTAAAGAAAGTTTTTCATACTTAACTCTCTCAACAAGGGCTCAGTCGAGTTAACTGACCACACAACTTCTTTGTACTTATTTAAAGTCTTTATAGTTTTGATACTACTAACTTTTAACATGGTAGGTTGGCAGACTTTCAGTAAACATTACAAGTCTTTCATATATAAAAAAGCATATTTTTAGTGAAGTATTTTTAACAAGCTAAAAAAAGATTTGTTCGTGAATATATCAAGTATTTGTTTTGACTAGTCCATGGGCAAAGTGATTTTTATGTTAAGATTAAAAATACTTTCTTCGTCTCAAATTTCATTTGCATAATTTCTAAAACCTCCTAAATACATTTCAAATGTTTGTTTTCAGTAAAATCTTTTATTTTATTGGTTATTTTCTCTACCCTAATTCTATACAAGGTTGGTCAATTTAACCGACCTCGTAACCACTAAAAAATAAATAAAAAAATCAAAATTATCATTGTTTCTTTCTAGAATGACTTCAAATTGTAACATGAAACTATACTTGTTTATCCTAAGTAGCTTTATACTTGTAACAATATACATCTATTTATGATTACGTTTTATTGCCCTTTGAACCATGTCTAAGTACTATCTGTTCCATTATAAGTTGTAAATCACTTGGGACATGTGCAGCTCACGTTATGCTATCGAATTACATTACCTACGTGTTGCTCTCACGTGTGCCTCGTGAAACATTTTTATTATATTAATATTATTATTTATTTACCTAATCTAACTTTAACTAACCTGAAGAGATCTCTATTTTTACATTTTAGCTACTTTTATAATAATATATATAAATTATAAACTAAAAAACAAGAAATAAAGTACTTAACTGGGTCATTTTTTTTGCTGTCGACTGTCGATGACACTTAACCTACTTTCTTTTATATGAATGAAGCTTGTACTAACAGAGAAACTGACAATTCCCCATTCAGAAAATAACGTAATATAATACATCATTTGATAGTTTAAAAACTTTGGCTTTCTACTGATTATACATAATATAGAATTAAATGGACGAGAGAACTATTAACAAATCCTGAAAGAGAGGATGTGACAAGAGGGGTCTGATTTTCTATTTGATGGCTCTGTAACCAAACAAAATTGAAGGCCATAAAAATTATGGTTTGTCTGAGAAATGATGATTTTATTGTGGGTAATTTACATTAAATTTCATACTTATTGGAGGGGTGGTGAATAAAATAGAAAAGAGGGGATGCCTACAAAAAATATGTCACATTTCTCATGCTAGGGGTAATTCAGGATTTTGTTTAATATTGCCTTATAAAATTAAGAACTTAAAACTTATATACTATTAAAATATGGATTATTAACTAAGATTTTATACTATACTAACTGGTATAACAAAAACAAAAAGTAGTTTAATAAAATTTTGAATGTAAGTCACTAAAACCCAATGACATGCTCAGTAAATGATGCCCGGGCAGAGAGGGTTAAATCAACATTCAAACTACTTATGTAAATTTTAGAATTGATAGTGGTTACTCATGCATATGCTTATCAATCCGCGTGAATTGAAAGATTATTTACTTATGGCTATACCACACAGTACAATTCCTTAATGGTAAATATACTGAATAATACATCTAAGTTAACTCAGTCAAATACTGACCTTAACCCCACAAACAACAAAAAATTGAACCTAATCAAAACATTATTAAAAGAAAAAAATATTTCTTTTAAGCATTATAATTTTTTGCATACAAATCAAACAAGAAAACCAGAAATCTATGGTTTACCAAAGTACACAAAATCCCAATAACCTTATGCCCAATTATAACTCCTTAAAGTACAACCTTGGTAAATACTTTAACTGGATTTTGGGACCTTATGTTTCCAAAATAAGCTCCCAATTAAAAAATACTTCACACTTTCTACAACACTTATGTAGTTTAGACAGTAACATTATGTCTACCTTTGATATCGTAAACCTATTCCCTCAAACCCTTTGTCATGAGACAATACAACTTACTGCAGAAGTTATTTCACAAGACCCTAAAAATATAATCAACATAAAACAGGAATATCTAATTGAATGGTTACAACTAGCCACATTTATTTGCTTTCAATACAGAAACTTTCTTCGGGTTAGGAGGACTTGTCATGGAAAATTCATTAACAGGTACTCTGGCCACTCTTTTCTTACATCACATAGAAAAACATACCTTAGTCACTTCCATATATAATCCTGCATTTTGGCTTAGATATGTAAGTTACATTTTCTGCAGCTTTACTTGTCAAGGTGAACAAACAAAATTCCTTCAACTACAAACATAAAGACATACAATTGCCAGTGGAAAATAAAACAATCACACGATAAATTGTTTAAACGTTAATATCACCTCCCCCAAGGCATCATCACTATAATTCATAGAAAAAAACACATACAGCAGA